GGATAATTGTGTCCTGGGCAGAGGAAACATTTCTGCATGTGATTGTATGGAAAAAAAGTTGGAGTTAGTAGAAAATAAAGCTTCAGGCACTATAACCAGTGTACTATGTATGACAAGATGTGGGGATGTGACATTCTTTCCTTGACACAACAGGTAATGTAATATTCTAGCCTGTTAGGAGGAGATTTATATTGTCTTTTTTTCCTTGTTGCAGAAGTAAAAATTAATTTAAAAGTAAAACATAAAATAATGGTGCTGGATGATTTATAAAAAAAGGAAACAATAAATTACCATTGCTCATTATGATTCCTTCCTCATATCTTGATTCAAGAGTCTTCAAGAAAGACACACTATCGTATGGAATCAAATCTGGGGTCCTAAGCTTTTCTCAGAGGGTGTGTATTTTTAGCTTCTACAAGATCTTAAAACCTTAAGGTTAAATCAGAAATGGTGTGTGTCTGTATGGAGGTGAGAACGTGTGTTGAGATTTTTGTAGAGGTTGACCTTTCCCTTGTGGGAAAAATTGAGGAAATGCACTAAACAATGCATCTTTACTTGTAAGCTAGAAATTCTTTGAGGTGCTACATTTTGGCACAGAGAGATGTACTTCATCATGTTCTTATGAAACAGGCTCCTTAGATGTTCCAACTGAGAAGTACTGACAGCTCCAGCAGGAGGGCTTCCTTACACCCACATTCTTGCCAAAACTCCAGCTGCCAAACACATTACTTTCCTCACTGTTAGTTTTTGGACAATGATTTTTGACTTAGGGATATCAAATACATGGAACAGGAATGTGACTTCTCTAATCACAGTTTAAGCATTCATCTCTGGTTACTGCAATGCCCTAATGTAATGAAAATGGTGATGCTGTGTCTTATTTTTATCCAATGCATATCATGTGTCAGGCTGTGCTAGGCACTTCATGTATTATGCCTCCTTTAATCTTTATAACCCACACTCTCTGATAGAATTTTAGCTAAGCTTAGGTTGAATCATGAGGTATAGGAAACAATGTAACAGTGGCTTTAAGAAGTTGAAATGTTTTTTCTCACTTAAATGTCCCATAGTAGAAGGTTGTAATCATCATTAGTGTGCTTATTGCAGTTTCTGATTCTTCTCCTTCCAGGTACAGGGTAGCATTATACTTCTCCATGCCCTTGATGTGAGATGTGACCATACGACTTGTTTTAGTCAATTAAATATGAATGGAAGTAATGTGTCATTCCTGGAAAGAAGCCTTTAAGACCTCATGAACACTCTGTTGTGTTCTTTTTTCTTGCCTCTGAAGACGATGCTCTAATGTTGGGAAGGCCCTATCAGCCTTGGCCTCCAATTCAGGTCAGCTTGGAGTGGAGCAAACTGTGGTGATCCAAGATGGAAAAATAGTATAAACAAGAAATGAATCTTTCTTGTTTTAAGCCAGTGGGTTTGTCCTCACTGATACAAATATCAGGGACTGGAATGATGCTCTATAGTGTCAGGGACCCAAGCTTCATGAGTGTCATTGCTTTATTAGGTGTGACTTCTATTCCCAGGCACACCTTATGGTCCAATAGGGCTGCACTAGATCAGGTCATAATGTCTGTACTGCAGCCAATGAAAACAGGGAGGGCATTGAGGTAGGTGTTCTCTTTGCTCTTAAGGCTGTTTCCAGAAAATTGCATGCATTACTCCCACTTGCATCTCATTTGCTACAACTTACTAATATGGCCACACCTATGGGCAAGAGAGTCTGAGAAGTGTGTGTGTGTCTGTGTGTGTGTTTTCCCAAAAGACCATACACTGAGCTAAAAATTAGGTCTATTACTTTAAAACAAAGGGAGAATCAATAATAAGAGACAACTAACACTCTGTACAAAGGTAGTTCCTACAATAATCCTCATTTTATAAATGAGAAAAACATGGACCTAGAGTAACCTAGTTAAGATCATATAGGTAATAATTGGTGGCACCTGATTAAAAATATAGATATGTGACTCCGAAGCCTGTGTGCTAATACAATATTATGCTAGTTCCACTGCTAATCTGTAGAAAATAAATTCTTTATCTTAATAGCAAAAAAGGTCTGTGGAATTCAAATTGATTTGTCTTTCTATTTTCCTTTCTTGTTCTCAAACTTGGAGAGAAGATGTGACTGTAGCTGCCAGTTCTGATATTAACCAAGCAGTTTTTTAAATTCATAGGTTAGGAGCAGAGGTATCTCTGTTAGGTCAATGTATCTGCCTTCTTGGTTACACTGATTTTGAAAACTAGTTACAGTGCCAGCCTGTTAGTAATAAATAAGCTTAATTACTAAGGAAGACTATAAGCATAAGAAACAATTGTGAGTCTTAGACATCATATTTTAATTAACTATTTACAATGTAAACCCCATCTCAGAAATACATTTTAAATGAAATTCAAATTGACTAATAAAATCATTTAATATTCCTTCTACCTTTTTTAATAAAGTGTGGCTTATGCTCATAATTCTTTATAACTATCTCCTAATATCTCTTATACTAATTTGATTTCTTCCCTATTTATAAGCTATATTTATCAGTTTTTTTCCAGGTGTAGTAAAGAACTTTCTCTCACTGTTTGGTGAAATAATCAGGAAAACTTTAGTGAAATATTATGTTAGTCATATTAAGATACTAGAAGCAATTTTTAATTGTGATTGTGATTTAAATTATTCTTGTTATACTCCATCCTCTGGACTGAGAATTCTATCTTTAGGTTTAAGCCTCAAGTACATCTTACACAATTTAAATATAAAAATATGTAAATCAGTGACACTATATAAATACAACTCATTTCTTACTGGAGATCCTGGTTCTATTTTATTGTTGTACATAAAGGTACATATAGTAGGCTAAAGAAAGAAGACAGGAAATATATGCAGAGAGAAAAATTACTATTTTTTCTTAGCTGCTGAAAAGAGTCTGATGCTGTCTTGGTAATTATTTTCACTAATGTGACAATATTTTGATTCTAAGAGTACTATAGAGGCTGGTAGAAATTTTGAACCTTTTATATCTTGTCCTCGGTGACCCTTTCTGGACTGACAACTTGAAGCTATTAATTAGATAGTCAGTGACTGTAAGTGTAAGTTGATTTATGACTTTTGAAGGTACACAAATTCCTCAGCTAAGCCAATTATAAAGTGGTTTCCTTTAATTTTCATTAACAGGCATTTCTGTGCAGCTTGGGCTAATATTCAGGGCACACTGCCTGATGCAGCAGCCATCCCAGGGCCTTCAGTGGTGGAAATACTGAGTTGGCAGTCTAGAATTCCAGAGCAGCTGCTGATGGAGAAGGCATTTAGGAAGCAGCAATGAACTAAAGAGCTGTCACGCTGAGATTTCTTCTGTGAGTACAGTTCACTGTTGGCTCTGATACTGAGGCATGTAAAGTATATCAAGAAACAAAAGGAGTGACTAATTTTGTGCTTGCGATTAGTTCTAATGCATTCCTCCATGATTGTCTTATTGAGATATAGTACTTCAACCAAAAACCTAATATTTGAGTTCAAGCTAATTTTTAAATTTTTATCAAGTATCAAGTACAATTTGATAAGGCACATATGATGAAGAATAATTATGTAATTTCAAAAATGAAGTGGACCAATTCTTCATTTGATAAATTGGAATAATCACATCTGATAGTACTTAACGGTACCAAAACCAGACTAACCAAGCCTCTATTTGACCTTTCTTTTGCTATTATATATAATACCTTGTTTTATTTAATCATCACAATGTTACATGGAAGTAGGTTTATAAAAGATAATATTCTTTTCTCCAATGTGGAGACTGCATCTTGAAAAGATTATGTGTCAAAATTCATACCCAGACCTTCAAATTTTTAAATTCATGAGAAGTTCATGGCCCCTGAAATGTATAATGATAATGCTCAAGAGCATGCAAACAAATTTGTGAAGAAGGATAACAGTGAGCATGTTTTTATAGTCTCTCTTTTCCTCTTCTGGTCTCTCTCTTGTATAGTGTTCACTCTTTTCTTCTTTTAAATTAAAACTCTGTGTCCCACAGCTCCCAATTTCTAAGAAGCTAATTAACAGTTAAATAATCTGAAACATTGTTGTTTGTATTTAATTTATGTTGGATTATATGTACAACTTCCATAATATACATTTTAAGAGTGCATCCTGGACCACATACTACATGTTTTATTCATTCAAATGTTTGATTGATGAAGGAAGAAATTGAATACTTGGTAAGTGATAAATACTCCAATAAATTTTTTGAGGATAATTTTCACCAATGTACTTACATGCTTTAGTATATCCTTTCTTATAAAAATAGTCCTTTGTTACCCATTCTTAAAAATGGAGTTACTATAGTCTATGTAGGCACTTAAGTCACCTCAAATTCTCTCTTCAACCTACTCTCCTCTGATTTCTGCCCCATCTTATCACTGAGACAGCACTTGTCAAGGTCAACAGTGACATCCATGTTGCTGAATTCAATGGTCATTAATTTATTTGGCCTTCTGTGATCAGTGTTTGACTCTCACAGTTCCACCTTGTAATTTTCTTCTTTTCTTGGCTTTAAAAAGTGGTCTAACTCCTTTTTCCAGGATCTTGCTGATTTCTCCTCCTCTGTGTAACATTTATTTCATGGACTCTTCTCTTTTCCATATATATAGTTTCTCAAGATTTGGCTTAAATTCTCCTTGGATTGACTAATTTATTTCAATGTCTTTCAGTATCCTTTTATGTACTTATAACTCCCAAATCTGAATTTCCATTCATGATCTTTCCTTGTACAACAGATTCATATCTCTCTACTGAATATTGCCACGTGGATGCCTTACAGGCATCTGATAATAACCATAGCTAAATAAAATTCTTGATGCCTGCTGCCCCTGTCCTAATCTGCTACCTCCATTATTTCCAAATAAATGGCCCCTTAATCTATCCACTAGGTCAGGAAAATAATCTAAAAGTTAACTTTGATTCCTCTGTGTAGCCTATTCCCCATATCAAGACAATCAACAAGTCTGTTGGCTCTGCCTCCAAAACATATGCCAAGACTTGCTGCCTCCAAGACTTGCTGCCTCTTCCATCAAAGCCATAATCATATTTTATATAAACTAGAACAACACTTCTCTTTAGCCCTCTTATTCCACTCTTTCCCTTATATTAACCAATCTTCACACAAAAACCTCAATGCCTTTTTAAGACAGTGATTAGATCATGTCCTTCTCCTTAAACCTATGCTTATTATTAAACCCATATTAAATTCGAATTCCTTTTTCCAGCTATAAAGCCCCTGTGTGTTCTGTCCCCTGCTATTGCTCTCAACTTCATATAATACAATTTTCTCTTCAGAACAGTGTGGTCACTGTGATCTTTCTGTTACAGAAACATAAAAATTTAGGTGCTTTGCATGATCTCTTCCTTCTGAATCTGGTTTTCCCCCATATCTTTGGATGGACTAACTCATTTTAGAACTCAGCTTGAGTTTCCTAATTCAGAGAGGCCTTCTCTGACCACCAGCCTACAACAACCATCAGTCACTCTCCCTCATATCACTAATTTTTCAGTGTATCACTCATTTCATCCTAATACTATTTGTGTTTTATTTGTTATCTAATTAATTCATTAATCAATGTGTTTATCTTTTTATTTTTTATCTCTCTTCTCACAGTGTGTACGCCCCCACTAAGTAGGATATGTTCTACATTTTCTTTGGGACATTACTAATGCCTAATACATGAGCATGGGTGCTCAAAAAATATTTGTTTATTAAGTAGACTTTTAAGTTTTCCTGATGATCTCGGTCTAGTTGGAGATAGTAATCTATCGTAGAGTTTTTCTTCCTCTTTTCTACCTTATCTTCTGAAGGGTGAGAAAATCACTCAGCTGAGTGTTCTCGCTCTCTTTCTCAGACACACACAAACGTATATGTATAAAATCTCCGTTTCATTCTGGCAAGGGACCTCTTTTATAAGTGGCTTGACTACAGTCACTCTGAGTGTCACTGAGTAGTAAAGCTGTTCATACAAATACAATTGGCACTTCATTTCTTTTCCATTTGCCTGCTCTGTGCAGGTACAGAGTGGACCCTAATTATGACTTCACATGTTGTTTTGTAACTAATGCGATCCTTCTGGTGTTGACTACAGGTACCGCAGTGGACACATCCTTTAGTATTAATTAACCTTTCCTTTGATAGCAGTACTGTTAGTTCTGTTTGTGTAGTACCACCGCATTTTAGCCTTGATCTTGACTTGGCGGGCCTTGACTGCTCTAATTCTGTGAATGCTCTGTGAAATATGAGTTAGTTCTGAGAAGGCCAACTAAATTGTAATTAATTTCAGGACTTTTGCTGGAAATACTTGGCTATGGGAGTTTTGTACCCCACTGAATATGAACAAGAAACTATAACCTGGAGACTGTTTTGGGACCAGCATTGGAGGCCTCCCAGAGTGAGGCCAACCAAGAGAAATGAGGAAGGTAGTAGTTCCACTCACTATGTTTGAGCCACACAAATAAACCTTATCTAAGATCAATCATGTTTCTAAACTTTCCAATTATATGAGCCTTCTTGCTTCCTTATAGTTTAATTCAGTTGAAAATTTGCTGTTCTGTTGAAAGAAACTGAAAATGTTATCTTACTGGTGAGATAACTCATGTGCATCTGAAGATAAATTGCAGTGCTTGAATCTGTGATGATCTAACTGGGGGCCTACTTTATTAGGCATATTAAATTATGTTTATAAATAATATAAAATCATATAAAATACATAATTATGCTTGAGTGATAATACTTAAGATAGCTGTGATAAAGCATCTTCTCTGAACAGATAAAGACAAACTCACAAACGAAACAACAAATAAAACACTTTTTTTTGGATTCCATGCCTCTTATGCTCTCAAGGACATTGCTTTCCCAGTCAGCCCCTTTGCATTATCCTTTTCCTGTCTTTATTTATTAGCAGGTAGTTGGATAGTTAACTGAATCAAAGATTTTTAGGCAAGAAGGGACTGTTGGGAGATAAAAATATGATGTTGTTATCAGCAAGGTGTCTATGTCTGTCCAGCCATTTGACACAAAAACTCAGTAGCAAAGAGACTTTGAATTTTCATTTTAATTTTTATCCATTGAGATATGGACATTCTTAAATAATGCCCACTCTCGTCTGAGGCCAAATTCCATAGTTTGTTTGTGGTTATCACTGTTTTTCCAGATTGGTGCATTTGGTACTTAATCATTCCATCTTTCCTGCGATATTATCTTTAATCACTTTCTTAGAACACCACCTTTTACTATTTTTTTTCCCCTCTGTATATCACTAGCTATTTATTCTTAGTCTTCTCTCCTGGTTCCTTCTCATCTTCCTGGCCTCTAAGTATGGGAAGCATTCAGGACTTACACCTTGGGTATGTTTTCTTTGATAACTTAATCCCCAGCTGATCTCATCCAGTCTTACAACTTTAGATATTATCCATATGCTAATGTGCTAATGATTGCTGTCTTAGTTTAAGCTTTCCCAGAAACAGACCCTGAGATAAAAATTCAAGTGCAAGTAGCTGTGATAGTACTTACATCTGATAGTACTTAATGGTACCAAAACCAGACTAACCAAGCCTGGAAGATGATCCCAGGAAACCTGAGTAGAAGTTTGCGAAAGCGAGACAAGGAGGGGATGGCACCAATAAATGGTGCACTTTTGAACAAGTTACCATTGTGGGAACTGGAGCTTTATTTCCACTGCGGATTCTGGTTGCTAGTAGATAGCAGATACTTCAGATTTAGCCCATTCCTAGGGGACTTCAGTTCCCTGTCACTTCGCCTGCCACATGTATAAAGCAATCCAATGGCTAGAGAAAGCCGTTAAGCTGAATCACAAATATTGACCATTGGAAGTTGGATAAATGCAAGTGAAAATGGGTAATGCTGATAGGATGGATGTGCATAGGCCTCAATAACGTCTGCCACAACTGGTGTATCTTTAGGTTAGTCCTCTCCAATGAATTCAACTGCCTGCCCAACATTTTAGATATCTAGTAGGTTAAAAACAAAACTACTGATTTCCATTCCTCAAAACTTGTTCTTTCCTAGAATTCCCCCACTTCTCTAAGTTGAAATTCCATCCTTTAAGTTGCTCAGACTGAAACTTTGGAATTACTCTTGGTGCTCCTCTTTCTTTCACATTTTATCCACATCCATACTCTGTATGTCCGCTCGTCAAGCCTGTTTCTCAGCATTTCCTCTACCACTAACATCTCTCACATGCGTTAGTGCCTCTTTACTGGCTTTCTTGTTTCCATCCTTGCTCTTTTTGTCTTCTTAAAATCTTTTAACTGTAAAGCAATCAAGGTGATATTTAAATTTAAATCATACTATGCCAAAGCCTTCTCATCTCATTCAAATTAAAATCCAAGACTGAAGATGTGGGTCTTGAGGGTTTTCCAAGGATGGGATTATAGATCCCTTTGTTAAGTTGGGAGAGGCTTACCAGGATGGATGACCACTGTGCTGAGCGTTGGGGGACAAACGGCAGTGTTGGGGGACAAACGTAATTATAACCTTCAAAGTCCTAAATAAGTTGACCCCTAGTTACCAAACTGATCTCATATTTGACCTCTCCTCTCTTTGCTCACTTTATTCTAGGTACGATGACTTTCTAACATTTCCATAAATAGATCAAGCTGTCATCAGGATTTTGCATTGTTTATTCTTGCATTACTCTACACCAGAGGGCTGTATGACTGGCTTGGTCACTCATCCGCTTTAGGTCTCCTCTGTGAGTCAATTTCATACGAACTTTCCTTAAGAAAAATTATATCTTATGCTCCATTATTTTTTCTCCCCTTGACCTGATGTTCCCCCTCCCATTACTTTTATCATTTTATGATACCACACACATATATAATGTAAGCTCTGTGAGAGCAGACTTTGTTTTGTCCACTGCTGTCTCCTAAGACTTAGAAAAGTTTCTGGCACTGGTGAATTTTGAAAGAAAAAAACTTGTAACAAAAAGAAACTATTTCCAAATACTATAAATAAACGTCTTGTCTTTTATAGCTTTTCAGGAGAATTTATTTTTGTTTCAAATTAGAATGAGTAGAAGATATAAAGAAATATATAACTATGTCACATATAAATCATACCATCTTTTATGGTATATCCCATAGCTTAGAATACTCATAGGAGAAAATCAAACAGTGCAACATATTTTAATATTAGTTGGGCCTTTTCCTTTTATGTTATAATTTATAAATAAAGAAAGATATTTGAAAGAGAGAATAGAACTTATATAGTTTTTGATTAAAATATTACTGTATGATAGCAAATTTGTAGAAGATAACTCGAGGAAGTATTACTCAATTGTAGTATCTATTTGGAAAAACAATAATATACTTACTAGAAGAAGAGAGGTAGTTGCTCAGTTGCCTTTCACAAAAATATGCCTTTCTCAAAAATATAGTAGGAATTATGAATAGGAGTTTCAAAAGATGCTGGAATGCAAAAGAGTGTGAAACCAGGGAGAACACATAATAAAAATTCAATGATTGTGTTACATCCAGACAATAGGATATTATTCAGTGCTAAAAAGAAATGAGCTATCAAGTTAGAGAAGACACAGAAGAAACTTAAATGTATATTACCAATTGAAAGAAGACAATCTGCAAAAGCTACATACTATATGATTCCAATTATTTCCAGAGGCAGAACTATGGATGGAATAAAAAAAATCAGTGTTTGTCATAAGTGAGAGGGCAGAGGAGCAAATAAATAGAGCACAAAGGATTCTTAGGGAGGTGAAAAACACTCTGTATAATATAATACTGGGTATATGTCATTAGACATTTGTTTAAATCCATAGAATGTACAACACCAAGAATGAAACCTAAGGGAAAGCACAGATTTTGGGTGATTATGATGTGTCAATGTAGGTTCATCGTTGGTAAACAAAACAGAAAAGTAAAATCTGGTGAGATGTTGATAATGGGGGAGGCTATGCACGTGTGGGTGCAGAGGGCATGTGATTTCTTTGTACTACTGCCATCTCAATTTTGTTGTAAATCAAAAATGTCTCTAAAAATTGTCTTAAAAATTAAGTGATATTTACTAAACTTGGTTTTATCCAATTACATTTCTCTTTACATTTTAGCTTAGTGAGTCTTGGCAGGAATGAGTTCTAGAATACTTTTCTTGATATTTGAAGGTGGTTGGATTTACATTCTTTTGCAAAAAAAAATTTGAGTACAGTTAATTACTATCATTGTCCTATTTTCTGTTGACACAAAGGCCAGTGTAAGAAATGACGTGTTTTGCCATTTGTTGAAGGATGAGGAAATTAATGATTATAGTACTTATGTTAAGGACTGAAGATGTGGGTCTTGAGGGTTTTCCAAGGATGGGAGTATAGATCCCTTTGTTAAGTTGGGAGAGGCTTACCAGGATGGATGACCACTGTGCTGAGTGTTGGGGGACAAACGGCAGTTAGCGATATGAAGCAGGGGCTGAAGTCAGAGTTTCAGGAAGACCAAACTTTATGTGACGATGCCACTGCATAAACCTAAAATGTCCTTTCAGGAATCTGTACATGTTTTAGTTAAGCTACAGCCAAGAATAAAATATGGGGAAGCTGCAAGAAATACACTGATAAGATTATAAAGAGCTTATGTATCTAGCTAGGTGTTTGAATTTTATACGAAAATTTATGTATTTGTGCAGGAGACTGATACATTTGCATTTGAGAAATTTCCTTGTAGAAGTTTGGAGGACAGATTGAAGGAGAGGACATAATGGAAGAAAGGAGAAAAATTTTATGACAGGGAAATACTAACGAATATTAGTGCTATGTCATTATTAGTGAAATGCTGAAGTAGATAATTCACATATTTAAGAAAGATGGAATGTTCAGGGTGTACACTGATTGGATGTGGGAAATCAACAATAAGGAGACATCTAAGATAAATTTTATCCTTCTAACTTAGATAATTCTTTGAATATTATTGCTTTCTACTGTAATTGGAGTATCATAATAGGAACATTTAGGGAGTTGGGGAGGAGAAAGAAAGGGGTAATAAGAGGTAAGTTCAATTGTGGAGCTGTTCAACTGAATATAATGCAGGACATTTAAATAAAAATGTTCAGCAAGCAGTTAGTTATACATTTCAGGAGCTCATTGGAAATGAGGCTGATGGATAAATGTTTACTTGTGTGTCATCAGAAAGTTACTGGCTATTGGAGACTTGGGCTTGGAAAAGTTTACTCTGATGAGTCAGTCTGTTACACTAACATTTAATAATGCAGGAAAATTAGCTTACAAAAGGAGACTGATAGCAGAGGCCAGACAAATAGTATACCACCAGGAGATAATGGGGAGAATGTTAAAGCCATGCATATAGACCTCTTTAAAGTTTTTTTTTAACCTAGAATAATTTGCTTAGCCTGATGCTTTTTAGAATGTCAAAAAGATTTTGAAGC